GAAAAAAATTAAGAAACAAATTTTAAAATAAATTTAAATTTTATTTATTTTTTTGTTTTTGATAAATATTGGAAATGAAGAAAAAGTTAAGACAAATAAATTCGTTTATATTTTCTACTGAGCAGGCTTATGTACGACAGCGAAAACATGAAGAGCACCAAAAAAGAAGAAGAACATAGAGCGATGTAATATTGACTTTCGTGGAGAAATACTTCAGAAATACTTCCTTCCAGTGACCTTTCGATCTCAAATATAGAACACATTTACATTTAAAACACAACTGTAATTTATTTCAAGTTTGAAGTTTTTAAAATTAAAAAATAGAATGTTTGTATATTTGTTTTGGTATTAATTCACATTCACAATGATTAAACTAGTCGAAAATCGGCAAAAACAAAATTGGGTAGCATTAAAGAAAGCAGTTATACTGCTTGAATGGAGTAATGAGTGGGTTTATTCGCATACTCTCTTGAATCGAATTCGACAGCCTAACTGTTTTGTTGCTTTGAAGAGAGAAATGGCGAATAGAAGATGGCTTATAACTATATCCTCGTATATATTGGATAGTAGAAAAAGCCTTTTCGTATTTTGTCAACCATATAGTGTTAGAAAGGTGAGTATTTAAGCTATATTTAACTAAAAAAAAAAAAAAAAATTTCGGGAACTTGAAAAAAATGTATGTGTTTTGGCTGGTTTGAGAATTGACCAGTAAAGCCTTTAGCTATTTAATATTCTCTTAAACGCTACTCAAGGCGAGGCACTTGAGAAAACGAAAGCATGTAGTTAACTCCAAACTAACGCCATATTCAAAAACTACAAAACTAATCGACTTTTTAAATTTAAGCGTTGCCACTTTAAAGCACACCATACTGAATTATGTGTCGCTCAAATAGGCGATACCCAATTACACGCTTTCCTAGCGGCAATTTCAAAACCACGCTAGGCGAAATGCTTAATACGCACCTTTAGGTAATGGCGGTGTGCACCTATCACATTATCGCAAAATGCTAATGTGCTATCTAAATTGCCGCTACAGCGCAAATAAAAAGGTTAGGTTAGGTTGGAGCGGTACATGATCTAAACCAGAGCACAAGCTAGCAGGGCAATTAATAAAGAGTGTGTATACACTTGTATGTGTGTGTGTGCGGTAGTGTATGGTAACCGCAATGAACAGCTCCTCGAAACCGCAGCAGTCGATGTGGCCGCTGTGGCGTGGCGTGTTTGTGGCTCATTGACTCGCCACTCCTAGCCAAATCGCCAAAAACAGTCAAAACAGTCATTTGCCACCGTATGCGTGATGCCACACACACACAAACACATAAAGGTGTGTAGCATGTAGAAAATTTAAGTTGTCCGTAAGCAAAACCAAAGGACACAAACACATTAGCATTAAATGTGTCAAGCGCGGAGAGAAGGGGGTTTGTAATGCCTGCGGTTATGGCGTGTGTTACCCGGCAGTTTCCCCAATTTCCGGTAATGCGTTAATTTTGTTGCTAACCATTTTTACATTTACATTTTCACCTTAACGACACTTGCTACTCACTCCGACAATCGTTCTACTTCGGGCGCTCACTTTCCCTATTTTTGTTGTGTTGTTGATAAATCGCAAAAAATAAGTAAAAAAAAAAGTGAAAAAGTAAAGCTCGGACTTATTTTAATGCCAACACTAAGCCAATGTTGGGCACCAGCCATACCTTATGTGGGCTAAATGTTTCGAAGGAAATCTATACAAAATGACAAACGCCGTTATTTCTTTGCATATATGCATGCATAACAATTTGGTGCCGTTTGATAGCGCCCTTTTGACTCTGAGTTCCCGACCACAACATCCCAACAGCACACCCCACCGCCTACACGGCACAGCGGCGCACACAAATGGCACAGTAGCTGCGTTGTTGCACAGTACAGCATACGCCGGTGTCCATCACAACCACTTGATCGATGTGTCCTCATCGATTTGTTATGTTCACCATTCCAATGCTACATGCTGCCTTCGCTTCCTTGCACACTCTATATTCGCATCGTTAAGGACCTATTTATTTGTTTTTGTGCTGATGTTGCGCGTTTCTCTTTTTACGTTTCACCATTTTTTATTGGAGCTATATCTGTAGTTATAGTACTGTTTCGGAAAGTGTTGTTATGCCGTGTTTTACTTTTTCATTTTGACTCCGCAAGTGTGCACACTTTTGTGCCACTTTCAACTAGCGTGTCAGCAAACAAATGAAAAATCGCCGAAAATTGTGTTGAACAACCGTTTTTTTCTGTGTGTTTTTTCTTTGGTGGGGGGTCATTGCAACAAAACCATAAAAAACGGTGGTTAAAGTTGCCAGATCGACTTTTTCTTGCTTTGAAAAATTTTAAGATTTATGGAACTGCGTTTTGGCGTAGGTAACAGGAGATAAAGTGGAGAAAAGCAAAACTGAACAAGAGATTGTTTTGGAAAAGAAATAAATAAAATAGATGGAGAGGCATTAGGCTGGGGTCATAAGGCATACATGATATTTATAATTTTAAGAAAAGGAATGTGATATTGTCGTCTTTTCGAATTGAAATAAAAGTGTGTTCGAGCTGACAATTTTTGAAATATTATTTGAAAAATTCTAGCCACTAATAATGAGGATGAATTTTTCAACATTGGATTATATTTAACTAAATGTTTAAGAAGTAAAATAATCGAAATTTTTAATGTACTATATGAAGCAGACACACGCTGACCTGAGGTCATCAAAACAATCATATTTGTTACTAAGTTCGTATTTGTAACGAAAGTGGCTATGGACGGCATAAAAATTGTGCAATAATTTTTTTTTTTTTTACTATCAAATTTCAACAAAAACACAAAATACACGTTTTTTTTTTTGGTAATCCCAACTTTAGGATCCTAAATAAACTGGACTCCAGTCGATGCAGACAGTCTTCAACAGTATGCAAATACTAAAGTGACTTTATCAAAACCGACATACTTTATTCGCATCTGTGCCGGTATTTTCGCTAGTTGGCGCTGAGAGCGCGTTGTTCAAGTTTTATTCGTCGCATCGGGTCATGCTATACCTTTTTGGAAAGCTCATTTCATGCGCTAACACGTGTTTGATTGATTGTCGTTTCTTTTAAGTCGTTCGTGAGTTATRGCGTCSCAARCATGGMGCAAAATAAAGAGAAAATACGGCATATTTTACAGTACTACTACGATAAAGGCAAAAATGCATCTCAAGCCGCCAATAAAATTTGTRCAKTTTATGRMCCCGVTACAGTTTCCATTTCCACCGCACAACGATGGTTTCAACGTTTTSGTTCTGGTGTAGAGGTGGTCGAAGATGCGCCACGCTCCGGAAGGCTTGTCGTCGAAAATTGCGATAAAATCGCTGAATTGCTCCAAAGAGACCGGCATAGTAACAGCCGTAGCATCGGTCTAGAGCTGGGCATGAGTCATCAAAAAAAAATTTGATGAACAATTGAAAATTCAATAAAAATACCGCAAGACTTTTTTGACAACCTATTATTAAGGATATAATAGAAACCTTTCCTAGATTATTAACTTGCGACAGAACTTACTACATCTTACTAACGAAATCTTAAAATTTGATAATTCTACTTCTCGAGCATGGATTTATGGGTTTTAAAAAATCGTTTTTTTTTATTTTATTGAATTCTAATATAATCCTAAAATATTGTCCAAAATTTTCAAGTTGGCTAGCTAGGCTGAGAGCGCCATTTTTAAACGGCGACTTCGTAAAATTTTACACAGATCTTTGAGATACAATTCATAAAGACTTGGATGATTTTTAAAGAATTAGGAATAAATAATATCGCAAAATTTTCACTTCAATTTTAATATTTTTGTAAAAATGTCTGCCAAAAATCTAATTTTTAGTTTTTTTTCTTTGACCAAGTCCTATGTTAAGGTTTCAATTAAAACGGACATTTTCCACTTTAGATGAGCCTGTAAGGAGTTATCCTGCCAACGCGTGCGCATCGTTTTTTCAAAAGGCCAGGCAAAATAACCTCCTAATGGCCGAGTTTAAAATATTTTTTTCCAAAAATTTCCGAATTTTTTCATAATTGTGTTTGTTTGTAACAATAAAAAATTCTAATAAAATATTTTATTTTTTTATACATATGAGAAAAAATCTTTGAATAACTTATTCGAGAAAATCCATCCAACCCCTTAAAAATATTATAGCAACTTTTCCTAGATTATTAATTTTCGACAGAACCAACTAGGCCTTATTAAGGATATAATCTTCTAGGACCTATATCCTTAAAGAAGCTATATCCCTTACTCACATACCTCATAAAAAAAGCAAAATTTTTTACTTTTTTCACCTACACGCATGGAAAATAAAAAATTTGTGAAAAAAAAAAATATTTTCTCAATAAAACGCTCCGCAGTACAGCCGCGAGAATCAGAGAATGCTAACTTAAGTTCGCTCATTAGAAACTGTGAGCTCAACTTGTTACAAAGAAGCATATGAAAGTAAAGTGCTGGGCTTCATATCACGCATACAAGAACAAATTGCACGCAATTTTTCCAGTGCGTAAATATAAATTTCTGCTTCGAAAACCCCACAGCGAAACAACATGCGAAATCGGTATTGTTTTCTCGTTTCGAACTTTCCGCAACTCTGGCTACATTGCGATTTAATCTTGACCACAAACCGCAAAAAATTGCATTCGCTTACAAGTACTCAAAACTGTTATTGCCAACTATGGTACAATTGTAGACACACACACACACACAACCAGTACCAACAACACTGCTGTTTGAGCCTTGAAAGCACATATGTAGCTGCGGCGGTTTGTGTGGCATTGACGGCGTTGCAGCGCGAATAATAACAGCAAGTGCGGGTACTTGTGAATTGTGAATACTCGTTAGCGTACGAGTATGTAATGAAACATAAACAACAACCACAAAAACAACAAAGAAGGGCACCACATATCGGCAGAAAAACAATAGCAAATCGTACAAATGCAACGCTTACATCACTATTACTTACATTCATTTCCCGGCAACGTGTGTCCCGTTAGGCCTTGCATGCCGACACCGCCGCCAACAACGCCGCCACCGACACCAACACCAACACTGACACCGCTACCCGGATGATAGCTATAGCCATTTTGTGTTGCGTAAAGTGCACTCTTTTGGTCCTCCATGCCCAAGGCAAGATCCATCGAATGCTCGAGTGCTTTGTTATCGAGTCCACTTGCCGGGTAATATGGTGGCGGTGGCTGACTTTGTTGGGCGGCAACAATTGATGGTCGCACCGAGTCCATTTCGTAATCCTTGGCGGCGGCGCTCTTTTTCGACTGATTGCGTTTGCAGCGACAGAACATCAACAATAAACCGACAAATAATGCGAATACAATGCACGAGACGATTATGGCGATCAGTGTGGGTGTGGCCAGGGCGGAAGCCTCCGCAATGTATGTGCGGCCAACTGCAAAAAGAAGTACGAGAAAGAGATGTTGTATAAAATAAAATAAATAAAAGCGAGAACTGCGAAAATATGTATGCGATTGTGTGTGTGTGGGGTATAACAAGTAGGCGGCTGGCGTGGTAGCGGGCGGCAGATTTCTGCAAATGAAACGTTGGTATTCACCGAGTTGAAGGCAGCCACTCAAATGTCCATAAGCCTAGGTGCTTCTGTGATTACAACAACGCTTCAATGTGTGGTGGCAGCAAATGGAATGCTGTCAGGCAACCAACACAAGACATGGGGTACAGGAAGCAGCTACGTGTTGGTACAGATGTACTAACAAAGGATTTCCTACACGCTTGTAAGCCACACACCCCTATATAAGGCTCATATGAGACTGTGTGTCGGTGATAAAGTAGATTGATGTGCTGTTAATCGGAGGCATTTGAAGGATGTCAGCAAGGAGCTGTCAGTCAAAGCGCCTGTGGCCCAACAAATGGTCAAACCGACAGAGAGTCTGAATAAAAGTTCGAAGGCGCACGATTTTTAATTGAAAATTTCAAGATGCCAAAGAACTGTTTAACAGTTAACAAGTGGCATGACGCATGTTCGAAAGCTTAGGAATGTGACAGAGGCATCTGTAAAGCCGTTATTTACAGGTGTTGCTACTTAAATACCACAAAGCATTACCACACACACTTACAACTAAACAAATGTTTTAAATTTAACCTACTATCTATGAAATATGTATATGTAAAGTTGTGCGACTTACTCTCCGCATTTGTGTGCTTGCCGCAGTGCTCCTGATTTGAGCGCAGGCATAGTTTCACACGCACCGTCGGTTTATTATCATCGGCCAGCGCCAGCATATTCATGTCGACACCCTCATCGTCATCTTCGTCGCCGCCACCAACACCATCATCATGGCCGCCAATGTGATTGTGGCCCAATGAACGTCCACCGCCGCTGCGGTATGCCGGTATATGGCGATCAATCACGGTCTCCTTAAATGTCGGCCCATTGCCGGAGAGTTGTAAATTCACAGTGTCCACAACTTCCCATTGCGCCATCGGTGTATCCATATTGACCATGGACTCCACTATGGCCACCAACGATAGACAGGTGGCGCCCACATTTATGCCCAATGTATGTGTATTGGGATCGTAGGTGACATGTAGTGGCGGTGGGATTTTGCTAACCTTTGTGGTCGTCATAATCTCATTGGAATACGGTGAGTTGCCTTTCGTGTTGAGTGCGTTCACCTTGAAGGCATAGCTTTGATGTTGATCCAGTGAGGTAACCTTGCAGGGATTATCATGTTGGCAATCGAATTCCAGCCAATCGGTATTGCTGGTGGCTATGGTGGCACAGTCGGGTATCAATTGTTCTTCGCGTGGCATTGGTACACGCCGATAGCTGACAAAGAATTTCGTATTGCTTAGGCCACCATCGAAGCCGGGATCCCAGCTGAGCGTTACATAATTGGGTCCCACATCAACGGCGCGTGTGTTGGTCGGCTTCTCTGGCGGTCCCTTCTGTTGTAGGCGTATGGGTGCACGTATTGTATCCAAGGAGTTCACAACACGACAAGTGTATTCACCATAATCAGCATGTGTGAGCGAGTTGATGCGCAGCACCGAAGTGTAGATATCATTGTTATCTGTGGTCGTGCTAATTTCATAATGCCCATCAGAGGACATTGTCAGCGGTGAGGGATTATTGCCGAATTGCCATTGAAATTCGGGCTTGGGATATGCTTGTACTTTGCATACGACCTCAGCAGTTTCACGTATGTCGAAGGCGACTTTATTGTATTGATGCAAGACAATCGGCTCATGCTCGATGCGCAATTGCATGCTCGAATTCGCCGAGTTCACTTCATTCTCGTAGAGGCAAGTGTACAGGCCACGATCGCCGGGCACCAGCTGATTGCCGTTCGGACGTGCCTTGCCGCGGAACTTCAGCATGCTTTGCACCGTCACCATGCCGTTGGGACCCTGATCGGGATTCGTCTTAACTTCGTATAAGTTGAGTTCGGGCAGGATTTCGACACCGTCCTTTAACCAGCGTATGCTGGGTGCAGGCTTACCCTTAGCGCTGCAGGTGACTGCATAATCGGTATCGGCGACACGGCGCGTCATGTGTTGTTGTAGTTTGGCGAGAAATTGTGGTGGCTGATGTATCTCAAGTACTATAGTGGCTATTTGACCATTACCCAATTCGTTGACGGCATGACAATGGTATTTACCTTCGTTACCGAGATGTGCTTTCGGTATCGAATATTGTGGTCCCTGTGCCAGCACTTTCTGTGTGCTCGAGTACTCGCCGTCCATGTCGCGGAACCAGCGATACTGTGGCACCGGCCAACCGGGTGGATTAGCCGAACAGGTTAATGTAACGCCATTACCCACATGTACAATCGGTTTGTTCGGTGTTATGAATGCCTGACCGGGCCGGTGTCGCACCAATAGAGCTACGGTTGAGTTGCCAACACGCTCACTACGTTCTTGTCCGTATGACTCCATTATATTCACAGCACGACAAATATAACTGCCGGCATGTTCGGCACGTACCGATGACAGTGTGAGCACCTCGCCGGAGTAACGGAATTCGGGCGAGCCCTCCTTTAACCATTCAATGGTAATTGGTGGCGGATTTGAGGTTACATTACAACGGATATTAACTGTCTCGCCTTCCTCGGCCTCACGCGTTTTCGACTCAATAACGACGGTTGGCGGATATAAGATGTCCAATATGAGTACACTCTCACCCGATTTGCCGAGTCCATTATCTGCTGAGCATGTATATTTGCCAGCATCTTGCGTGCTAACACGCTGTATGCTATGCACTAGGGAGGAACTAATGAAGCGGCCATCGCGTGTCCAACGCACATTAGGCACTTTGGGCTTAGCATCGACATTACACTCCAATTTGGCAGTACGATCACGTTCCACACGAAGTGGATTTTCCGGACCAACATCGACGCGAGGAAAATCTGCAAACAAAAGAAAAATTATGGTCGAAAATATTAATAAACATGCATACAAATATTTATATATTAAGAAATGGGCGTAATACATATTCGAGGTTGATAATCAAAAAGTTGTAATTGAATTTTTTACAAAGCGTCGAAAGGAAATGTGTCGGCATCCGAGCATTGTGATTGTCTCGCTTCAGACACAAGACAAATTATAGCATTGCTTGAGCTTTTCGGTTGCAAGTTGCAACAACACGTAAACACATACGGTTGATTAATATATGTCGCCGATTGCAGGATTTTGCAGCGATTCATCGCAGATGATTAGGCGAAAATTTTATGAAAACACGCAGCAGCGTCAATGAAAACAGTGATTATGCACGAACTGTTTTCGGGCGAAAACTAAATTAATACCAAGAAGCAGTAAACTCTCTGTTAATAAACAGAAATATACCGTTAGCATTGCTAAGCAGTGATAGTGTTAATTGGACAATAAAAAGAAATAACAAAGGCAGTAATGTGTACTAGATAACAAAGTTAAATTAAAGAAGCAGCAAGAAAATGGAAAAAAAGTAATATATCTATGTCAAAACAAAAAGAAGAAGATGAAAACGCAGACTCGGAATTTTTTTCTAATATCGCTCCAGAAAAACAGACATAAATTAAGCATGGAGAAGGAGGAACTTGGAGTATACATCCCCGTCCTGATATATGGTGCAGAGGTACGAACTATGACAACATCTGATGAAACGGCGTTAGGAGTTTCCGAGAGAAAAGTTCTGCGTAAGATTTATGGTACTTTGCGCATTGGAAAAGCGAATGGCTCAGTCGATGGAACGACAGCGTTCGTTCAGCGAATTAAGAAATAGCGGCTATGCCGGCTAAGTCATGTCGTTCGAGATCGGAGAGTATTCAATCCGCTGTGGAGGCAGAGGAAGACAGCTACTCCGTTGGAAAGACCAGATGGAGAAGGACCTAGCTACACTTGGAATCTCCAAACCGTCTATAACCGCGTAAGCAGTATCTAGCCAATAAAGAAGAACAGGATGATGGAAAGAAAATTCTAAGAAATTTTTCAGAAAGCGGAGCTGTAGCACAATTAGCACGATCAATAAGTAATATATATACCTATGTCAATGAAAGCAGAAGAAGTCGAAAACCGAGACTCGAACTTGTTTCTATTACTTCTCCAGACATAAATGAATCATGGAGAAGGAGGAACTTGTATAATGTAGTAGAGTAATGAATGACTGGAAAAATTAGAGGTACACACATCGAAGAAATCTTTCGATATTTAAGAGAGGGTAGAGAAGAAAAGTCCCAAGTTTTCTGTAGATATTCTATATAAAGCGGCCCTGTAGCATGGTTAGGACGATCATAGATTGTACGAAGTATGCGGTATGCAGAGCGCTATTGTGTGACCTCTCCACCTACCGCATCATTTCATCTAACCCATATGCATTAAAAAGGCTTTACAGCGAACTTAGACCATACTCTAAGCAAATATACCGAATCGATAATCTGACTCCTTCTGCTTGCGATAGCAAGGCAATCAAGAAGTAGTCGCTGTGGTGTTTCCATCGAAAATCCAGAGTGAGTAGTAATATACTATGCTAAATATTTTCTTGTTGGATCCGACCAGAAACAAATTTGTCTGTCGAAATCCAAATATTTGCAGTTAGTAAAGATCCCTACTTGTATTTTCTTATTTCGTTTATCTTCTTTAATGCTGTGTAGACTCTGTAGGCATATCGATGATAGTAGTAAAATATTCCTCAGTATGAAAGTCATACGCTTATTAGTCGGGAAGAGACTCTACCCTTAGTTGCACATGAAGATGCTCAGAGGACTTATGGCTCTAACTGAATTACTATCTCTATCTCTCTCTCAACAACTTGATTTTTAAAGGTATTTTTTAGCAGGTAAAGCAGAACTCTTGAAGGATGGAGTCATGCGTAGAAGTTGACTCAAGTGAGGAAAGTTCTCTGAACGTCATTCGCTTGGGAGCGGTTAGAAAAGAGTCTTCTACATCAAGCAACTCACGGCTTCCGCTCTTAGACCAAGTATCCTATGGGTAGCCAAAGAACAACCGTTTGAAGGCAGTTAAAGTGAGAATCATCCATCCCTGCGCAGTGTTATGAACTGGGTTTGGGACTCGTCACTCGCATCAATGAAAACTAAGCATCTAACGACGGCTATAACCGCTTAAGGGGTTTCTACGCCAGTAAAGAAGAAGACAGAACTCTCAGTAGTAGGAACACATATAATTTCGACCACCTTCGAAAAATTCTATTTTTTTACATTTTTTCCTTTTTTACTCAATATTTCCGACAATTCTTTTCCTACCACGGGCTCCGCATTATCACAAGAGCACTTGCAACAAGCGAAACGGTCTGGGATATTTGCTGCCACAGCGTAGTAATTAAAATGTCTCATTCGCATGCTGAGTGCCCGAAAGCAACTGTCAACAAGGTGTCGACTTTGCTTTTGCCTTTGCCACACACAGCAGCAGGGGAACACAGCAGGCAAAAAGGCAGAAAAGCGCGACAGTTTACTTGCAACAGGAGGTGCACAAAAGGCAACAAGTGCCCAAGCCTGAGCCCCAGTCACACATACACTCTCATGCAGCTACATACACACAAAAACACATACAGACACACACGTACAGGTAGGTTTTTAGTGGCAGCAGTAATTTACGTTTAGTTGGCCTAAGCATTGTTGCTGCTGCCTTTATCGGGGAGAGCGAATAGCTGGCGTATATTTCTTAATGACACTAATAAAGTCGCGAGCACTCGAATGCCAGAAAGCACAGTGCTGGCATAAAAATGAAGTGAAGGAGTGGTAGCACGCAAGAACTAAGCAACTATGCAACACACACACACACATATATATATATATAAAAGTAATATATGTATATATATAATACCGTCGATTTGAAATTGGAGCATAGAGAGCGTAGAATAAGAATATAAAAATGCCAAACGCAAGAAACAAAGCAGAAAGTGGCGCAACAAACCAACTACTAAGTGGATTGCTAAGCAGGCGACGAAGTAATGCGAATATTACATGATTGTCGTCGCGTTTAACGGCACTACTTGTTGCCGTTGGCGATAGTGCAACGCAAAGAAGAAAAATGCAGCTTCCTTTTATGCGTACTCACTCTGTGTATTTGAGTGTGTGCGTGCACGCGTGAATGCCTGCATAAAACACTATCAGGTGGTTAGCGTGGTGAAAGGCAACTAGGGGCGACGGTGAAAGGAAAGTTGCACGCTCGAGAACTAATTGCAAAAATACTTGCCTGCAGTAGTTCCTTTACATAGTTGCATTTCTTCTGCGCAACCATTTATAATGAGTTGCGGTGTGCTGCGATTTTATTTAATTATTTTTATAATCATTATCTGCTCTTTGCTCACTCACTTTCTAATTTAAAGCAAAATGTTGCTAAGATTAATGAATATGGGAGAAAGTTCTATTTGAATTGTTAGCTAGAACAAAAAATTTGCGAGAAATGAGTTCAGGGTTGATTGGATTAGTTATTAGGTTGAAATATTAGAGAGTGGCGGAGATAATTAAATGAATTTATATGATATATGAAAAATTAGGGGTTTTGAGGGGGTTAGTGTACTACTACTGGTACGGCTATATGATTGGTAGGACGCTAGGAGAGTAATACAAGCGTAAAGTATTAAGTTCCTAGTAGAAATAGGCAAAGTTTCTTCACACCTTTTAATGGTACACCACTCAAGAAATAGTTAGTGTTTTAAACTCTAAGGAAAACTGTTCGGAACTACCCTCTAAAGGTACCTTTTTTCATATTTGGCATAAGTATTGGCCAATTCAAGAGCAAATATGTCAAGAAATATTAAAATATGTGGTAATCGAAGAACGACGAACTGATATTCAACTTAACTATGTTTAAAATCGTAGTGAAAGCTCTTTTCCCTGAAAGAGGTTGGTCTTCGGAGCTGTACAGGTACATCTACTGCTTCCTTAATAGTGTAGCAGTCAGTAGCGCCTGAAATACATTATAGTCCGTTAACCTAAAGCTTCACAGAGATCTCCTTACGGAAATACGATAGAAAATTATTAAATATTACAGTAGTAAATTGTCAGCACCGTTCCGAAGCTATATTTTCCTCTTTATAACTTTGCTGATGGTAGCCACGCTTCTCGTTATTAAAACGTACCAAGCCGTCAAGCTAACCCGGATAGTTGCGATGATTAAATTAAAACACCGTGCTTTAGCTAGCCTTCTAAAATCTATATCATACAAAGATTTGATCATATGAATATCACAATGATCTTAAGATCAGAAATACCAAAATCTTCGGTCATATTTTGAATTCTATTTTGCATAAAGATATTTTTTTTGCCACAGAATTGAAAGTAATATTTTTTGGAAGCGTTTTTACCAAGCTAACGCTTATAAGGAACGAACTAACTAAACCCCGGATGATAATGATAGATCATACAAGAAAAAATATTGATACAAAAAATCTGAGAAGAGAAACTAATCTAGGACAAACAGCTTTTCTAATTCCGAGAACTATATTTAAAAAATAAGAAACTTTTCCGCTTCTACATCCACAAGCGCTGCAATGGCCGAAGATGCTGCGGTTGTGATGAAAGAATGAGCGAGCGGTTACACAGCTGCAATACAAGTTCTACAAGTTAAGCTCACTAAATGTTGATACATGCCAAGTAAACACCGGCCACTACAGCTAGTACTTCGCGCAAAGTAGCTGACGAAAGAAAGCGGATGAAAGCAAGTCAAGCGAATAAACATATGTGCACACGAAGCGCACACACTTAGAACCATGAAACAAGTTTCGGGAAACAAAACAAGCGCGGTGAGTATGAAGGAGCAGTAACAACGCCAACAATGGTGGAAGAAAAGCTGTGGTTGAAGCAGTTAATACGACTACGGGTCAATAACATTAACACAAGAACACACTTCAAAGCGTGTGTGCTACGCGAAGTGTATGAGAGAATGCGCGCAATTGAGAGAAATAAAAACG